TACTGCTAACCATTTTATCTTTCCACAGTCTGTGTATTCCAAAGCTCATTATGTCATTCATAATGTCGTAGTTATCTGCAACAGAATCAAACACTTTCCTGACTTTATCCATTTTACTTTTTATATAAATTACTATATTACACATTAACCTGATGAAATGAAAATAGGTATTTTTGTACTAGACCTTTATCTTGAAAAAATTCTTGCAAAATTGTGCTATTCCAGTATCTTTAATGCTAGCATAGATAGAATGGATAATCATATGAAAAAACCTTTTGTACTTATATCTTTAATAGCGATTGTGTTAATCACTATAGCTTATTTATACAAGAATAATGCAATCTCTGATTCAGAAGTGGTTAATGTTTACTCATCACGAAAGGAAGAATTAGTACGCACTTTATTTGATGAATTTACAAAGAAGACAGGCATTAAAGTTAACTATATAATTGATGATTATTCTCAGTTGCTTTCTCGTATTGAAAATGGTGGTGAAGCTGATGTATTTTTAGCTGCAGATGCAGTGAATCTTATTTTAGCAAAAAAAAGAGGTTTTTTGTCTCAAGTAGACTCGGAAGTTTTAAGAAATTCTATACCTAGAGAATTTCGAGATAGTGAGAATTATTGGTTTGGTCTTACAAAGAGAACTAGAATATTAGTATATAATAAAGAATTAGTAGACCCTAAAGACTTAAGTACCTATGAGGACTTAGCAAATGAAAAATGGAAAGGTAAAATATTAGTGCGCTCTTCCACAAGTCCCTATAATCGATCGTTGATTGCTTTTATGATTGCAAACAATGGTTTTCCAAAAACAAAAGAATGGGTGAATGGAATTGTAAAAAACATGGCAAGGAAGCCAAGTGGTGGAGATGTTGATCAAATTTATGCTGTAGCAGCAGGTGAAGGTGGAGTTGCGATAGTAAACAGTTACTATTTTGCCAGGGTTCTTTCATCACAGAATGAACACAAAAAAAATATCAATAAGCTAGGAGTTTTCTTTCCTAACAAAAATGGCAAAGGTTCTATGGTGAATGTCAGTGGGGCAGCAGTGGTCAAGAACGCAAAAAATAGAGAAAATGCTATATTATTATTGGAATTTTTAGTAAGTAAACAAGCTCAAGAGTTATATGCTAAAAAAAATCAGGAATATCCTGTAGTTGAAGGTGTTGAGATGTCTGATATCTTAAAATCTTGGGGAGATTATTTACAGAGCGACTTATCGCTTAGTAAGCTTGAAAAACATCTATTTGAAGCTGTCATGATAGCAGATGAATGTGGATGGAAGTAGTAGATGAAAGTAGTCATAGGCGGTGCTAGTAAAGAATTAGGAGAAGCTATAGCTAATGTGCTCAATGTTAGGCCATCTCCTGTGCAAACATCAAAATTTGCTGATGGTGAAACAAATGTAGCAGTAACAGGTGATCTATTTGATCAAGAGGTATATGTAGTACAATCCACATCTTCTCCTGTGAATGATAGCCTAATGGAATTTCTGCTCATGGTTGATGCAATAAAGAGAGTAGGAGCCAAAAAAATAACCGCGGTAATTCCTTACTATGGGTATAGTCGTCAAGATCGGGTTATTAAAGATAATCATATGAGTTCTGCCTTAAGTGCAAAATTAGTTGCAGATATGATAGGTGTGGATAGGGTAATAGTTATTGATCTGCATTCAAGCCAAATTGAAGGTTTTTTCAATATACCAATCACTAATTTAAACTGTTTTGAAGTATTTGTTGAATTTCTTTCTCAGCTTGTTTATGGGTCAGGAGAGCAGGATACTTGCACGTCTATAAAAAAAGAAGATTTAGCAATAGTTGCACCTGATATCGGGGCAATTGGAAAAGCACGTGCTTTTGCAAAGGCTATGGAAGCAAGGCATGATATAGAACTAAGTGATAAGATTGTTGTGGTGGACAAATATAGAGAGAAAGCAGGTGTATCTCAGGTTATGAACATAATCGGTGAAGTTGCAAATAAAAATTGTGTGATTGTTGATGATCTGGTTGATTCTGGTGGAACTTTGTGCAATGCAGCTTCTGCGTTAAAAGATAGAGGAGCAAAGTTTGTAGTGGCATGTATAACACATGGAGTGCTTTCAGGAAATGCGGTTGAAAAGATATGCTCATCTGCTTTGGATAAACTGGTGATTACAGATACTATATTTCCAAAATTTACAAAAACTGATAAAATAGAAGTTGTTCCTATAGCAAATGTTTTAGCTGATTTCATATTAAAGACTCAAGGAGATAAGAATGCCCTCTAGATCAACAGAAGATATAATTACTTCACTCGTAGAATTTGCAAGTAAAAGAAGAATAACAATTACCAGGGAAGAAATGTTAAAAATTGCACAGCTTGTGAGAATTAAATTATCAGATGATGAAATTGAATTTTATTCTAAGGAGCTAATTATGCTGGACTGGATACATGATACTTTAGCAAAAGTCAATATTAAAGGTGTTACTCCTATACGTTATGGTAGTATTAATAAGGATATTCACGTGCGTGATGATATTGTAGACTCTTGCAATATTAAAAAAGAGATATTGTCCAATGCAAAGTCTGAAGATGGGTATTTTGTTGTACCAAAAGTAATAAGTGATTAACTAAAGTTTGTTTCCATTAACAAATACAAAGTAAAAGGCAAATCGTTCACAAATATACTAGGGAAACATATGATCATAGGTTTAACTGGTGGGATAGGGGTAGGTAAGAGTTTTGTTGCAAGCTGTTTCAAAAAATTAGGTGCTGCTGTATTCGATGCTGATTTTGTTGTACATCAACTCTATAAGGTAGATAAGAGTATAATCAATTATGTAGACAAGACCTTTCCTGGGGTTATTATCGATGGTGAAATAGACAGGTCAGTACTGTCAAAATATTTTTTAGCTTATGATAAATGTTGGATAGAATTTGAAACTTTAGTTCACTGTGCTGTTTTTCAGAAGCTTAGATTTTTTCTTGCTCAAGAGAGGAAAATCGGTAGAGAATTTTTAATTTTGGATATCCCTCTTTTATTGGAGACAAAGTTCCATTCGTATTGTGATTTTATTATTTTTATTCATACGAATAGATTGATACAAAACCAAAGGCTTAGTAGGCGTAACATGGATGAGAAAAAATTAAGTCTAATGTGCAGTACTCAGCTTTCCTTACAGTTAAAGAGAAAACTGAGTAATTTTACTATCAATGCTAGTGTCAACAAAGGATATGTTTTTTCTCAAGTAAAAGAAGTTCTTGCAGTTGTAAAAACTGCAAATTTTTTTACCTCTTGTTAGCTGTTATACTCACTTCTTTTCTAACTTTACTTTGCCTTACCTT